CGCCGCAGAACCAGCCGTTATACTTCACGCAATACTTATTGCTGTCTCTTATACACATCTAGATGTGTATAAGAGACAGACCTTGAACAGATAAAACTTTCCATTTCCTCTAAAATTTCCACACAGAATAACAGCTGTCTCTTATACACATCTAGATGTGTATAAGAGACAGATACATATGTATATATATATATGTATATATATATGTATATATAAATATGTGTATGTATATATGTATATTTATATATATATAATTAAATATTAAATTTAAAATGTGTGTGCAGAAATAAAAGGTAATTATATTGTTCAGCCACACAATATTTCTTGATATTTTCTAATAATCAAATGCAGTCTTTTTAGTTTTAACAATTATCTCTATGGAGATTACCCACTCCCGGCCACTTCCTGAGCGAAAATACTTATATGCAAGGGGCCCTAACATTATTTTCGCCCCGGGATTCATATACTCGTCATTACGCCACTGGTACATAATACAGGTACAAATACTATCGGGCCTAATTCATTTTTTTCATAGATTTTTGACCTACAATTTCATTTTAACGTGATTAATTCTGTTTGATTGTGAATTATACCATCAGCCACTGCTATCTTCAAGTCATCTGTGAAATTGGATAGACTTTGTCAAACTTCAAAAGGAAGCTGCATAAGATGTGCTATTGCATGCTTGAGGGCGCTGCAGTGCAAATCGTTCCGTTATGACGACAAAAGCTGCCACTTGATGTCAGATTTTACTAATGATGAGCATACCATGGGGAATTACAAATTGTAGAATGATTGTCGTGTAACGAGTTACAAGAATCAATATGAAGGAACATATAAATACAAAATGCTTACGAATATTATGACATGTAGATATAGTATTTAATTAGTCCCTTACCTATAGAAGTGGCTTTCGGGCCTTGGTTGGAGTGATTTCAGTCAAAAAAACTTTCTTTTGGACCTTGACAATCCTTTCAGCGAACGGTGCTTCTCCCTTTTAATTACGGATCTCCTCTCACTTAATTTATCGATGTTTCTGAACCTTTTCGAATCTCTTGGCAACACTCGTTGGTAAGGTCAGACTACTAAATGTTGCATAACGTTTCAGATAAATGTTAATAGCGTATTTAAATTACAAAAGCGATATTATTGTGTTTTTATATTATTTTATTGAAAACAATATTAATATTAATATTTTATTGTTTGTTGGTGAATTCTAATTTTTGACAGTGTTTAATGGACCAACTGAGAAAGTGACTTAGTTCAATCCTTTCTCTTACTGTTGTTTCCTCCCACCTCCCAACCTTCTTGTGCTTTGTATTCGTCTAGTTGCATCATTGAGAAATAATGAAATGAAATATAATAGCTATACTATAAAATATACTATATTATACTTGACGCCAATGATTACAATTATGATCATAGTTTTCAAAAATTACGAAGGTAATACATTGTATACTAAGATAGAATCTGATGAGCATATAATTGATTTGGATTGGATTTATTCGGTGTAAACACCAAGGATAGGCCACGAAAGTCTAGAAGAAGACATATTTCCAGTGGGGTCCTTCTGGACGTGGTGATTAGGCAGTACACCGGGAGACAATCCCCTACTCTTTTTCGAAGAGTGTACTGCGTTCTTTGGATGGGCCATAAATGCACACGGAACCAACGGCTTAAACGTTTCATCCGAAAGACGGTGCGCTATTGTAATTTGTATTTTAGCCCTCCAGCTGAAACACAAGAAGAGGCAGCGATGGGAATTGAACCGGGGCAGCGCACACACAGTGGCTACCACCAGATTAGCCGACTGACAAACTAAAAATACAACAGATGGATGAGCTATTAGAGACTCCGGACAATTAAGAAACTAGACCTTTTTTGCATTTAATTAGGTATAAAGTAAACAATCATTTCATGTGCTCTAGGCAATGAAAAGAATAATTGTTCTTTTCTAATATTCCTACCAATTTCACTATTCATCATATTTGCTCATCAACGATATTATATTATATTATATTATAATAGTATACCGTGTTTAAATGTGCTTGCTAAGTATATGATACAAACATGCAAGTTTCAAATACTTATTCACAGACATAGACCAGATGAAATGTCGACCAATAAGATTTTGCCCAGACTCAGTGTTCATATTTTTTGGCCGATTTCAGGCTCAAAATGTTCTTAATTTGTTCTGATTTTTACACACCTTTCAAACAAAAAATGATTATTGTGCAAGCAGTATAACTGTACAGTATTATAGAGGGTATTACTTAGTCACACCTACTCACATTAATAAGGTACAGATAAGATTTGTTGGTTTTTCTAGTTTTTAATATTAAAAACCTCATTTAATATTTTACCTTAGCCTCAATTTGTTCTAGTTTTATTCTTAATTTTTAAGCAATTTCAGCCTCAGTGTTCTTATAAATGTGTTCTTATATGGTGTGTGCATGAACCGTATTTCATCCATTCAATAATGGAACATTACAGCACGATCTCGCTCTAGCGATCTGCATCACCTGTGTATTCAGTCAAAGAAAGAGGTTAACCTCTTAACAGCGAAGGCAAATGCAAAAAAAAATCATCACAAAGTTTGGGTAAATTTTTCTCATTTTTTATTTTATGTGTGTATACATAGGCCTACATAAATAAATGAGTATTTGCATGCGTATTCTTTTTTTCCATGAATCGATAAATCCAAAAAGAAAGGGTGATCCGGGGGTTCTCCCCGGGAAAATTTTAATTCGTAGATAGCGAGAATGAACTTTCCCGACATTTGAAGTGTGTTTTAATGACATTTATGTTCTTCAAAATTCTAATTTTCTGATTGTAACATAAAAAAAAAAAAAAAAAAATCAGCTCACGGGTCCTTAAAAGGTAGTTCTAGAATTTTTTTCCGGTCACACAAAAATCTCCAGACATTATTTTTTGAAAAAAAAAGTGGGGAGGGGGTGGGGCCCGAGCCGCCCCGACCCCCAGTTCCGCCGGCCATGCAATCTGAATCGTCACTAAAATGTAATATTTTCTTCCTTGTAACATTAGGTAAATTTTTCAGAAAGTTTCTCTCAGATCAGTTGATCAGATAAGATAGTATAATACATACTCCAAGTGTCGAAATGCACGCCATCGTGTTGGGATACAATACTTCGACATTAATTATGTCATCATCAGGAATAAAAAAAATTATCCATATTTGCGAGCTTATATGCAAAAGTACCAAAAGTGTTTGGCCAATCAAAACAATACCCCAGTAAGTGACATAGCTATGAATAAACTAAAGATCAAAGCATTCTTACCCTACTGATTAAAGTTATCTATAAAAACAAAGAAAGCTCCTTTGAAGCTTTCAGCCCATTGTTAAGCAATGGGTGTAGCCTACGTATAGCACACGCTTCTTTAAACAATAGTATAGACCAATTTTGCGAACTGTCAATAATGTTAGTATTAGAAAATACTAAACCTAATCTATTACTTACATTACAGACTACATTACATTACATTATACCTTGTAAACCTAAAACATATTGAAATGCCTCACAATTTTGTATATGATCATTTATAACACTATCAGATCGTGAAGAATGTTCTTTAAGTCTAGTTAATAAGCATCTATCTGTCTTACCAATATAATCACAATTACAGCCTGGACATTTAAAATGATAAACAACAGAGCTCCTATATTCCTTAGGGGTTTGATCTTTAGTACATATAAAATGAGAGACATTTTTGTACAGCCATAATGTTATGAATTTTACCTCTTTAACTAAGTGTTTCTTTACTTTGTTTAAACATCTACGTAAAATGGATTAACCTGCCTTTCCTAGATAAGGCAATCTAACCCAGATCTTAATCAAGCTATCATCAGTAGATCTATGTATACATTTAGGTTCATTTAATTTATTGAGTACATGGCTAACAGCTTTTAAAGGGTACCCATTCCATGACATAAATTTTCTAATGTTACAAAGTTCTGCTTGAAGTTTATCGGGAGTACACAATCCGTGGGCTCTTGAAACTAAACTACGAATCCAAAAAATCTTATGGTTCCATGGGGCAAAGCTATCATAATGGATATATTGACCTGTATGTGTATTTTCACGATATATACTCATGTTTCCTACGCTGTTGTCAAATTGTGAATCCAGAAAATGTACTATATCACTGTTTTCAAATGATTCAAAGGTAAAATTAATCTGTTCATGAAAAGCGTTAAAGTGACGTAGGATGTGATGATCAGTTTTATGATATCTGTCTGGGACGTTTAGATTAAAATGGTCCTTATTTAAACACCCTTTATTGGATTGTTTCCTTGTCACATGCAGTGATGGCTAAAGGCCCCGACGGAAGGGGGAGCTAGTGGAGCGAATCGGGTCTCACTTGGCTGGGGCCAGGGGGCCGCCTAAGGCGCCCGGTGGGGTCCAGGGGGCGCTTGACACATGTAAATTGACTGACCATGTCTACTACAAATTGCATCACGCTATCGCAAATCTCTAATGTTCCATTATAAATATAATAATATATAAACCATTAATGAGCGGTATGGTTCCTAACTATTGGAATTCTTAATAGCTGTCCCATATGCAAAGTAAAAGCAACAAAGTTTTAATAATATTATAGACCAATTTCAGTGATATGCCACTTAGTCTTAAAATGGTTGAAAAGCAAGTCCAAGATCAAATTATTACAGTATCTCAATGAAAATGTGTTTACTTGTTACTTGTTACTTGTATAGCGCCTTTCTTTTCAGTTACGAAGCGCTGAAGTTCTTTTCCCTGGTCATTGGGTCCACATGCTAAGTGTTGCTGCTGGTAATCAGCGCAGGAGCAAGTAACCCCACCAGGTTCCCATTTATACTCAATGCAGAAGCAATGCAGATAAAGTGTCTTGCTCAAGGACACAAACGAAATCCACAGCGAGGGATTGAAACCCCGACCTCAAGGTTGGGAAACCAAATCGTTCTCGCTGCGCCAAACCGCTTCTTTACCAATATGCTTTCAGAAAGTATCACTCAACTGTTACAGTCCTTGACACAATACATTACTATTAGAAAAAATTGAAAACTATGTATATGGTTTCAAAATTACTTACCTGGAGGCAAGCAAATAGTTAAATGTCTCAATAAAATTGCTTTATCAGACTTTTATTTTATAAGGGGCAGGACCCTATAGATCGGGGGCCCTGGAGCTCGAGGGCCCAGGTTCAATAAACCTACTGAACCAGCGGTCGTTACGCCACCCGCTACGGGTACATGGTTT